GCCGGGGTGTTTCTGCCGCACCTCCCGGTCCTCCGCGGACCAAGGACTAGGCCCGAGAGAACGTCCCCGCGACAGGCCCAGCAGCCGCCGCCCAACCTGGGGACCTGGCCTGGATGGGCGGGCCGAGAGGAGAAGGAGGAAGCTGTTTTAGGGCCGGTTTCCGATCCCCAGCCGCTAGGGACTCCTGGCGGAAGTAGCTGCTCCCAGCCGGACCTAGAGCAACTCTGGGCGGAAGCGGCGGAGCTCGAAACTCGGAAGACCGGAAGTCAGATCCGGAACTCGCTCCCCGCCTGGGTCCGTAGAGAATGCCTCCGGAAACATAGTCGAAGTCGAAGATTTGTGTTCCTACTAGGAGAAGGCTCTTCTTTGCCTTCATGGCTACCGCTGTACCCCTTACACCCTTCAAATATTCCGTATCTGAAAAGGCCGGGGAAGATGGGACGACGAGAAGAGGTCCCTGACATCCCTCCCTCCCTCAGCTTGAGTAGTAAGCCCTCCAAGGGCTCTTCAGAGCGCGGGGCTGCCATCAGTTGTGGCGATTTCCATCCGTTCGCCGTGAATGCAAGTGTGGGATGGAATCGGTGATTGTGACCCCAGAGAAGACGCCAAGTGTAGGGGTCGGACGCTGCAGTCTCCCAGAGAGCGCCGCGCTAAGGCGCTGTGACCTTGAACAAGAAAAGAAAAGCATCCAAAGACCTATGAGAGGCCCTAGGTATAAATACATGCAATGCACAGAAGAGGAGGTGCTCCTATCTTGCGAGGAAGTTCAAGTGACTTGTTAAAACACAATTAATTTGTAGCACGGACTGGACTTCAATTTAGATCTATGAAATACAAGGCATTGGGGCTTTGGTCACCACTGCCCAGCCTCCCCATTAAATACAGTACAACCAAACTACTCCCAGGCACCTAAATTATGCCAGAAAGTTACTTTAATTTTTCTTTCCTGCGTGCTTCCATCCCCTTTTAAACTGGCGTTTTTCATTCCAAAATAGGGAATTAGTGGTGAATATGCAAGGATTTGAGTCCTGGTCTACTGTCATTTTATTGACTTTTGAAATCCTCACTATGTAGTACAGCAAGTTGGCTAAAGTCTCACAGCAAAGACAAATTGCCTCAAATCTCATCCGATTATTCAACACATGTTTCTGCTTCTGTCCCTGCCCTTCCAAAAAGGTGCCGTTCTTAGAACCTCTTATATGATTATTACAGCTGAGAGTCCAGTTTCATCTGCAAAAGAATAAATTGTAACCAATAGAGAAGGGGGAATAAAGGGAAATGACTTATAAAGTTATTTTTTGTTGGAATTTTGTTGTCCTTCCACTATGTGGCTCATTATAACAATTACCAATTGTGGAAGGAAGAATTTATTCCAGGATGAAGAGTGAGGCTAAGTTTTATGGAGAAGGTATCATTTGAAAGGAGGACCTTGAAGGATGAGTAAGATTTATACCCTGAATGAAGTATAACCAGTTTAATGATGTCTACTAGAGGTAAGGAAAAATTATTCATAAATTTCATTACCTTTTTTTAGTTTTTTGGTGGGTGGAGGGGTGCTATGAAAAGATCTTTGTGTCATTAAATTTTAAAATGTTTAATATTCCATAAGGGTTTAAACTCTTTTTGGCCATGAGAGAAAACTGTCAATATCATGCTGAATTGTTATTTAAAAAAATCAGAAACTATTAGACAATTACATCTATTTTGGGTTGAAGCTTAAAGCACAGAAAGCCCTTGAAGTCTGAAGAAAACACACATTGAGTAGTAAATAGAAGTGGTGGAGCGCACAACATGTTAACTTATTGCATGAACAGTAGATGGCAGTAGAGTTTGACAGTGATGAAATAGGCTTCCATTCTATTAAAAATTATTCAACATAACTATAGTCAAACAAGTTATTATACAAATTGCCTGGATATAAGGGTCTCAGAGGAACCAAAGAAGATGATGGCATTTATAATGCATGTAAAACACCCAACACCTTACAGATGTTATTCTTTTTATCATCTTATGAGGTAAGTGACATTGATAGATGTTATTCTATCAAATAATCAACTAGCATGCATTAAGTGCCTAGTTGGTCATCAGCATTGTGGGAATTAATTCAATAGATTTTACATGGCCCTTATCCTCAAAGTAATAGCTAATTTGGGAAAGTCAACACACCCCCACAATTTACGAAAAAAACAGAAAGAGTGTGCTAAACTTTGAAGTACTGATTTACCTTACTGGTTTTGTGTTTCTTTACTAGGTCTTGAGTAGTGAGTAGAAATTGAGGCAGTTTGAAGGTAGTTTGAAGAAAATAGGTCAACAGTTGCCAAAAGTAGCAGGAGCATCTCTGATGGAGAAGACCCTACCTATCTGTTCCATTGATGAGCAGTTCTTCTCCATGTGCTTTGTTATTATGTGTGAACTATGGGCAACTGAAATGAACCTGATAACCTCATGCCCTGTCTTTCTTGTGTTCTCCAGCCCCTTTATCCCTCAAGCAAATCCACCACCAAATAAATTGTTGATTGTATTTTCTAATAGCTTTTGAATTCCCCCACTTCTCTCAGTCTTCAAGGCCACCTAGTTCAGGCCACCATCATTTCTCACCTACTGTCATATAACAGAAAAAGCCTCTTAGTTGGTCTCCTTTCTTCGAGTGGGGTTCCCCTTCTTCTGATTTTTCCACTTGCCAGCTAAAGCCCTCTTTGCTGTTCTAAATTCATTTTTCTTTTCTGCACTTGTAAGTCCCTTTGTGATTTATCGCCTTAGGCAGTTATCAGCATCACAGATCTCATCTCTCCTACTCTCTATCCAGTACAACAGCCCCCAAACCCCTATTCTCTACAATTTTCATGCCATCTATTCTTAAATAGCTTGCCGTTTCTTCTTGAAAATTTTGCATCCAGTTAAAACCTTGCTACTGAGTGGAAGTGTAGAACAGATACCAGCATCATCAGCTTTCTCTGGAAACATTGTTAGAAATGTTCTATTACAGGGCTACTGATTCAGAATCTGCACTTTACAAGATTCCTAGATGATTTTTATGCACATGAAAGTTTGAGAAATCACTGTTTGAAGAATCTGGCTGTTCTGCCTGGTGTATACTCATCTCACAATACCTTGTCCCTTGACTTGTTAATTCCTATCATCCTTCAGATCTCATATCAGATGTCACTGCTTCTGGGAAGCCTTCCCTGATTTCTCCCTCCAAAACTAGTTCATACTTTTGAGTGTTTACTCAGTGTTCCAGATATTGTGATACATGCTTTACATATATTGTCTCATGTAGTCCCTTCACGATTTTTTGAAGTTGGTTATTATTCTCCTTTTACTTATGAGAAAACTGAGGCACAGTTATCTTAATAACTTCCTCAAGGTCAGACAGTAATAAGTGGTGTAACCAGGATTCAGACCCAAGCAGTTGGGTACAGAGTCTGTGCTTCTCACCACCCTGCTACGTCACCACCCATGAGACCTGAACCCACCGTGGTTACTCTCTCTGATTTTACCTCTTAATAAACTGTATTGAAATAGACTATATATGTCTATAACATTCCACTACATCAGCGGTTCTCAACCTGTAGGTCGCGACCCCTTTGGGGGTCGAACGACCCTTTCACAGGGGTCACCTAAGACCATCGGAAAACACATATATAATTACATATTGTTTTTGTGATTAATCACTATGCTTTAATTATGTTCAATTTGTAACAATGAAAATACATCCTGCATATCAGTTATTTACATTACAATTCATAACAGTAGCAAAATTACAGTTATGAAATAGCAAAGAAAATAATTTTATGGTTGGGGGTCACCACAACATGAGGAAATGTATTGAAGGGTCGAGGCATTAGGAAGGTTGAGAACCACTGCACTATATAGTAATCTCCTTGAGAACAAGGACCATTTCGTGATTGCAGTATGCCCAGAATCTTAGTGCCTATACATAGTAGCCACTCAATGTATATTTGTTGACTAGAAACCCTGTATTTTACTTAATATATTCCACTCTGATCTTTCCTCTCCCACACCCCCATTCCTACTCTGGCTGATGTGGCCCAGTCACTGCTTTACAATTCACAAAGTGTTTTCAAATATGCTATCACATATGGGCCTCTCAGTGGCTGGTGAAGTCGGTATGAGAGGTATTGTTTCCAGCTCAGAGAAGAAGGAAGAACTGCTGCTCAATGACAAAACCAAGCAGTGAGGCACAAAGGTAAAGACAACTCTTTTGCATCTAAAACCTGGGCGCTTGCCATCACACTAATTTAAATTAGACTTATTTTTCACAGCTTTTGTCTGCTAAGATTCTGAACTGTGAATGTTGGGAGAAGACAGCCATTCTTTTTTTAAACAAATATTTTTATTGATTTCGGAGAGGAAGGAGAGGGAAAGAGAGATAGAAACATCAATGATGAGAGAGAATCATTGATCAGCTGCTTCCTGCATGCTCCACACTGGGGATCGATCCCACAACCCAGGCATGTGCCCTGCCCAGGAATCGAATCGTGACCTCCTGATTCACAGGTTGATGCTCAGTCACCGAGCCATGCCAGCTGGGCAGAAGACAGCCATTCTTAACCAAAGGAAGGCTAAAGTTTCATCAGGACACAGCAACAAAGGGGAAGCTCTGGGGACAATGATATGATCAAAGAGTCTATGTTCAGATACTTCACTCTAATAGCCACATTCCTTATGCTGTTTCCTGTGTCTCAATCACTGAGCCACTTTATTTTTTGAGACCAATCAGAAGAACAGGAACCTAGCACTTCAGAAGAAAGTGGCAAACTGGAAGGAAGAGGGATTATTGCTGTTGTGCATAAAATAAGTCAGCTCGTGCATAATTGCTTAAAACAACATCCAGCAGTTGGTAGCTAGAGCTGGAATACAGGGAGGAGGAAAGGCTGAAGCAGCTAGGGACTGCTCAG